CATATTGAATCATTAGATTCTTTCATTGCTATCTCTTGGTTAGGGGTGAGATTCATGGACTCTTCATATTATTACATTTAACCCTATGAGATCCAAAAGATAAACTTCTCTTATGAGTATCTTAATAAAAGTCTTCTTGAGGAGTAGTTCTAGGATGTCATTGATTACTACAACTATTAGTTCAAAATCTTCTTATATTCTGCAACAAAACCTCATTATATGATCTCTAAAAATCATTGGAAAAAGAATCTAAATTAATTGTTGCTAAAACACTAATAATTGGTGCCACAAGTCTTGTCAATCCTTGAAGGGCTTTCATTTGATTGTACATTTGAACCATGTTAGAGCCTTATTCAAGATCCATTCCAGCACTAGGTGTTAGTTAGGCTAAGATTCTTTATTATTTGTTTTCTCTTATATCATTTTTTTTCTTTTATTTGGGTGAAGATAAGATCAAGAAGATCAAGATGGCGATCAAAATTTGAGTTCAGCATGGTATCAAAGCAGATCGAGCCTTGAAGCATGACAAAGACAAGGATCAAGTTGACCTTATGATCAAGATCAAGGACATGCCTTCCATTCTACTAGAAGTAAGCATTCAAGAGGTCAGGAGATGTTGATGAAGCAAGTAGCTTCTACATCTAACTCGGTCATGATAGCAATTGGTAGTGATCGAGACAAGACCACATATGTATTGCTAGGTATGTTTGAGTGCTTGAAATTTAATGGTACTAATCTATGATAATGAGAGAGGTTTGTGTAGTAAACACTTCTTGGGAGAGGTTTGTCAAAACATCTATAGATGATTCTTTTGAGATGAATGATTTAAAATTACGAAATATGAAAATTTGAGAAAGTTTTTATTCACTTAGGACACCTTGAAATCATAATAGTTGAAATGTACGACAACTTTCTTTATATGACTACTGTGACCAAATTATGGAATGAAATCCACATAAATTGTTCCGAGTAGCAAAATGATTAAAAGATTTATGGGCTAAACGTCAAAGTAGTGAAGGCAATACAAAGGGAGAAGATAATTATAGAATTATCATGTAAATTGAAGGCCATATGATGTGAGATCAACCATTATGAGCTTGTGAAAAATCCTCATTATACAAAAATAAAGTACATTTTGAAGCAAAAAATAAAGTACATCTTGAAGCAAAAAATGTTTACATTCTTAATAGCCTCAAATCCAAAGCGTGAGTCTGAGTCAAATTCTACATAGGGAGGCATCAGATTTAGATGAAGCCATCAACATTGTAATGGAGGAGGAGAGTTGACTATACCTACTCTAAGATCCATCAAGGCATAGTCCAACTACATTCTCCACCAAGAAATTTTACCAAAAGTCAAGTCAATAAGTTCAGCTAGATTAAGATAATTCAATTGATCAAAAATAAAGGACCTCAAATGACTCTAAGGATAACCTTTAGTTTTCTTTTCTCAAACTCAAAAAGCACACTAGAGAAACCTATTAGAAGTTACATGATAAGCCCCAACAAAATCGAAAGACATCTATTACTTCTTTAGAGTTATGAAGGTGGAGAAAAAAGACAATCACAAGAGCAAATTTGAGAGGTTACTTATGAATGTGGGGAAGATGTTATGAAGATAAGGGAAGAACTGGAGCAACTCAAAAACATGTTGAGTTCTACCTCATTAGTATGTTCAAGTGAGAATAATTTTAGTAGTACTATTATCTTAGAGCCCAATAGAATCCATTGAATTATTGATACTATTGCAAAAGATTACATGGCACCATATACGTCTAAATTTTTCACTTATTCTAAGATAAATAAGCCACATAATATTCTTATAATTAGAGGAGGGATCTTATTAGTAGGTGGTACTAGGAGCATCAAAATTAATGAGCTGGGTATACTTAAAGTTGTTTTTTATGTACTTGGACTTAAGGCACATCTTATATCCTTAAGCTTGTACAAGATTGTAAATGTTAATTTATTATTGACAATGATGCTTATTTTTTATTTAATAAAGTGTCGGGGTATAGGATTGTACATGTTAGGTATTGAGATGATCTCCTCTATATAGAACATTTAGGCACAATGTGTCTCTCCTCTTTGTCTTCTTGAAGATGTCAAGAGTGAATCATGCTTCAATATAGTCATTTTGTACATCCTTCTTTGGAAAATGAAACATTAATTTCTCACAATTTTTAATGAGGTTGATGTCAAAACTCTAATGTGTAAGGTTTGTCAATTGACCAAACACAAATGATCTACATTTCATTTTAAGAAATGAGAGAAGTTTAGTACCACTGTCATATTTACAGTGATATTTAGGGGCCATGTTAGTTATCAAGTATATCTGGTTGCATATGATTTATGCTATTTTTTTATGATTGTACTAATTTTGTATGACTTATCTTCTTAAGTCCATAATTTAAGCTGCAATTATTCCACATTTTTTCAGCATGATAGTTAATTAGCTTGGGACAGAGAGAAAGTGATTTTGAATAGACAATGCTGAAAAGTATTTCAAAATTATTATCTTTTCTTATTTTGCTTGGAGAGTCATAATTCATGAATCATCATGTATTGATACTTAACATAATGGCCTAATTAAAAAGAAAATTGACTACATTGTGGAGACAACTAGGATATTATTGTTCTAGGAAAATATGCTCACAAAATATCGAGGAGAGGCCATATTGACAACTGCACACTTATAAATTACATACTAACAAGATTAATGAGACATTAGAGTCTAATTGACATTATCTAAAGCTGATCAAAATGTGAAGTTACAAATGAACCTAGCTCTCAAGTTGTTTGGCTGTGTGGCATATGTTCATACTGTTAATACTCAGTTGAATAAGTTGAACCTTAGAGCACCTAAGTGAATATTTGTAAGATATTCGTCCACTCAAAAGGGCTAAAAATATTATTGCCCATCCTCTAGAATGTATTATATTTCTGTAGATGTTATATTCAATGAATATGCAATGTTTTATAAGAAGTACGAAAAGCTTGATATTCAAAAACCAATGAGTCTTTTACTTACAAGCTCTAAAGACCCTTGCTCTCAAGCATCACAAATATTTAAGAGACAATTTAAGATACAGTCACCTAAGACAACAATTATAGTTGAGAAAGAGAGGGTGAAGAATGTAACTAAACTTGTTCAACTTGAGAAAAGTGATCTAGGGTTAGATGAAGAAACAAACTAAGGTATCTAAATGCCAATTATCTATCATATGATAGACTAAGTTTGAAGTATAAAATAATCTTGAGCTATTTTGATAAAACAAGTGTACCTAAAACAATTGATGAAGTATTGACCAACAAAGAGTAGAAACAAGCAACAAATGTAGAGATGGGAGCACTTCAGAAGAACTATACATGAGATTTGGTTCCTCTCCTAATTAATAAAAAGGTAGTGTAGTGTAAATAGGTATATACCTTAAAATTCAATACAAATGGGTCATTAAAGAGATATAAGGCAAGATTGGTAGCAAAAGGTTATACTCAATTATATGGGATTGACTATCTTGAAACCTTTGCTCTAGCTGAACTAAGAGATATATCAATTTGATGTCAAAAATATATTTTTACAAGGAGAAATGAAAGAGAAAGTCTATATGACTATACATTGGGGATATTTACTATCCAATCAGCCAAGTGTAGTTTACGAGGTGGTAATAGTACTATGGAAATATATCAATATGCTTATTATTTTCATGAGGTGGTAATAATACTATGGAAATATATACAAATGCAAATTATGTAGGTTTAGTAATTGACAAGAAGTCAATATCTAGCTACTATTCCTTCATTAAGGTGAATCTGATTTCCTAGAGAAATAAGAAGTAGAAGGTGGTGTTCAAATTCAATGCAAAAGTGGAGTTTAGAGCCATGGTTCAAGGTATATGTGAAGCAATATAGATAAAAGTGTTACTTGAAAATCTATATCTTTACTCTTAGGGTTTGCATCAAGTTATATTTTGACAATCAGTCAACTTTAGCCATTGCACATAATCTAGTCCAATAAAACAAGACGAAGAATATTAAGCTAGATCACCATTTTATCAAGAAGATTGAAGAAGGGATGATAAATTTCTTATTTATCTATTCTATCAATCAATTGGTAGATGTATTCACCAAGAGACTATTGGGATTAACTCTACAAAAGCTCATATCTAAGTTGGGCATGTCTTACATCTACACAACTTGTGAGAGGGTGTCAAACATGTTAAAATCATCTATTATTCATTTTCTCTTATGTAATATTTTTATTTTATTTAAACCTTTAAGTAAGTCAATTATGGACTATTTAATGAGCTCCTTTAGATGTAACCAATTTTAAACTGGTGATGAGGTTAATTGAGAATAATACTTTCTAAGGATCTATGCTAAAGAATCTTTAAGCAGCACTGGTGAAAGTAGAGCGTGAAGATCAAGCTTCTAGTTCAACACCAAGGTTCTGACTATTAACTACAACTACATTTAATCCCCGTTGGTGTAATCCTTGCATCAAGGTCTGAGCAACTACAAATGATTTCACCAATGACCTTTCCATTACCAAGTGCTTGTCAGCATAAAGCCCAACGGATCCAAGAGTTAATCCCAAATTACCAAAAAATAACAATATCAATAGGTAAGAACAAAAATACCTATTACCAACCTCCATCCATGGCTATGTTGATTTTAAAATAGTCCCATCTTAGTTAATACCAAATTAAACTTGTGATAAAAAGGAGAAGATGCTATAAATTGGATACTTGTTTTCAGGCTACATGTGTACATATAATCCTATAACAGTTCATATACAATCAAACGTATGATTATAATAAATGAAAAATGTTTACTACACCTAATACTAATCAATTTCAAGTTGGAGAACCTACTATCTCTTAATAGTGCAGAAAGGACTTCCAGGCTTTACTAACTAATTCTGGCCAGATGCTCAGATGATTAAATGATCAGGATCATCAACTCCATGCATAAAAAAGGTCATGCAAGAACCTCAATGGGTTAGTCATCGTCAAGCTCAGTGAAGTCCTCTGCTACTGAAGGGCGTCCCAATTTGTCCTGCCGAGAACGCATCTCATCAATCTCTATGAGCAGCAGGGGGTCACAAGCCACTCGGTCCACTTGCAAGACCCGAGGGCAGCCTGCAGGTCAACGAAGACAGGCTGTTAGCAGCATGAAACAATAGATATACTGAAGAATTGGGTGCTTTCATGTATAGCAGAGGTTACCTGCCATGGGGCAATGAGAATTGGGTGCTTTCATTTTGATATACTGAAGAATTGGGGCCTTCTCGTAGATGTGCTTACAGTCCATGCTATAGATAAATTTAAACCTTGATTAACACGGATTCATGAAGCCAGTGCTCCCATAGATTTATTAAAAATTTTCATATAAGATGGCAATAAATGCAGGAAAAGCAGCATAGGACAGTGTAGAGCCCAAAATGGATTCGATCTACAAGGACCCGACTGGGAATTGTTTGACCATCTTTCTCAGTCTATTTCTTCACTCAAGATCCCTCTTACTCATTGGAATAAAAGAATTAGTAGATCTTTTCTGCCCAAAAAGGGAAAAAAAAATAAAGTACACTTTTTTTCTCTTCAATAAATCATGGAATACTTTTTTCTTCTCAATGGGGTAACTTAAGGAGGCCTAGAGCATTTTATCTTTCTTTGTCATACGGCTGCCTCAGGATCAGCACAGGTGGGCATCAACAGAGTTGGGTTGGGTACACCTTCATTAGGGTCTGGTTTGGAGCCAAAACTTTCTAGGCTTGTAATCTCTACAAAGGCTAGGTCTGGGCCTTGAAGAAGATCCCCAAGATCAGTCTCACGACCTGGTCTTGTTGACACCAAACTATCCATGTATTGAGTCTTGTGGTTAGATTTAAGGCATGTGGCTCAATCAAGGTTGGACTTGGGATTGTGGAATCGGATTGGGAGAGTAAGCCAGAAAAGTTCTCAGGCTTGCTCCAACTGACGTAGAGGTAATCTAGTAATCATCCTTCTTCAGAAGCTTGGTGTCTAACGAAATCTTAAGATAATTATTGTCCTCCCACTATCAGGCCAATGCAAATGTACAGACACTCAAGGATATCAGTGTTGCATGAACAACACAGACACCTCCTGACAAGGTGTCCCAATCTATCGGTGATAATATCTTTGAAGACAAGATGCACAATAGTTTCTTCAATGAAGATGTCCGATGTTTTAAACCCTAGCATATGCACATTTCCAATTGCAAGCACTTTGTTCTAGTGAAATATGGGAACGAAAGTTTTACCTGCGAACTGGATCTTCTAGTTCAATAATGGGTTTTCCGGTCAATGGGCAGGTGATATTCAAGAGGCTGCTTTGAGTGCCTGTCATCACTATCTCTTCCATCTCTTCACCAGGCATGGGTTGACCTGCATGATGAACATTCTGCAGATCGAAATATTAACTCATATTTTGTTCTTCCTGCACCAAGGGTATCAATAAGCACAGTAACTCACAAGCCCATTCCAACATTTTCGATCCTCAAAATCAAGTGAATAATTTATAAATGCCTGGCATGACCCAACCCAATTTTTATCCTCACTAAACCAAGGTTTTAATAGGGTCCACTTTGGAGTCCTTTCCACTTGACTATAACTCGGAAGAAATACTCCATCACAACATCATAAATAACTAGGTTAAAATCACCTTATAGTAAATCATCAATGGTTTGAGAACAAAAGAGAGAAAATAAAAATGAAAAGGCTATAACGTATTTATTTGAACGCCTAAGGATGGATAGAGATTTGATATAAAAGAAGTATTCATTTATTTTTGGAGGACAGTATATCAATAATCGAAATAAAATTTACAAGAGGAAACCTTGGCAGCAGCCCCCAAACCGAAATAAAATATAAGCATATGAAAGCAGGGAGTGGATGGTCAGATTCGCTCAAAATTGAGCTGCTAAGCGATGAAGGTGAGTGGAAAAAAGGATAATCAACCCTTAGTTGTCGAATTTGGACGAAAGGTCACTCAACAAGAGAAGAATGCATCCAGGGAAGGAAGAAATCTGAGATTAACCCAATATTGAAGTCATACAACAATCAGGAAAAATGTCAAGAATAAACAATCAGCCTAGAACAGAGAGAATGAATACCCTTTTCACAGTATGAGAATGATAGTAAGTGCTATAATGCAGTTCAGCAATTTATTTCTTGGGGATAAAAATGAAAGCATTGCCTAAACTTTCATTTACCACTTCAATCCTTTTAGAAGTAGCATATAGTTGTTTAAGAAATCGTACTTTCATAGGTTCTGACGCTTTGTCTCTTCAGCTTTCATGTAACATTATTTGATACTAGTCCCACCATTAGAAGTGCACAAAAGGACAGGAAACCACGGGGTTGCTGACATCAAAATCCTCTGTCTTACAAACAAGGTTCCTATGAAGGAAAGAGATCCAAGCACAAAACATATCCTTTGTCCAAACAATCTCCTTATGATAGCCCCATTACATCTAAGTCGCTTCCCACGTATATAGAAATTTCTTCCTCTTTTGTCTCTTCTTCAAGTAGATGTCTCAGAATTCCCCAATTTCAATGCAGAACTTGTACCCGCCTAAAAATCACACCATTTATTAAAGTCATTTCCGACCCATTACAATGCATTGGCTCGAGTTTAATCAAAACATCCTTCCTGACTACTGTTAAACTGTTCCCCAGAAAATTCTTGCCATGACAACTTAAACAAGTATTTTTTGCTTTCTAAGATCCTAATTTCTCTTTTGGATATGTCTACCCCACTTTTTCAATAACCTCAAAACAAATCATTGTCTTGCAGAATACTGAGACACGATTCCCTTCGCACCCATGTCGTATGCTTACCTTCTCCTCCTCTGTAACACTAGAAAACAATAAATAGGTGCCCAGTAACTTCCTCCAAGGAGGCGAAAAAAATTCATTCAAATGAATTGAAAAGAAGATCCTAGTACTAGTAATAGGATAGGGACCATGTAGTCGAGTATCATTGTCCCAATATCATTTATATGGAATTTATTTATTTATTTATTTAAGGTTCTGCGCATCTCAAATAAGTCCACGTAACTACCGAAAATATATTAAAGTGCGGAAACTCTGAATAGAGATCTTCGATATTTAAATCCACCATTATAACAATTACAGAATAGGCAAACGAATTTATAACAAAGGGTTCATGGTATATTGGATGTATACCCAGACTGCTTCCTTGAACTGCCGATATAGTGAATTTTTCTGAGGATTGGGAGGTGAATCCATTTTTAGCCTGTTGCATTCATTCTTCAACAAGTTCCCAAAGTCGATGGACTACAATACAGAAAAATCGATGCCAAAATAATTAAAGAATTAAAAAAATCAGCACTTGTTATGAGCAACGACTAAACAGAGTACAACGCAAGGAGGTGCAATCACCTGCGTTCCAGGCACGTACGCATCTCCAATAGATTTGACCGCAGAAGAGAAATGAGCACAGTCATCCGAAGCGTTCAGAAGTGCCAAAACCCCTTCCTCCAGTTCCTTCACCTGCGCAGCGCCAAACAGATGAAAGTTAAAGATTGCCGGGTGCAGTAAAGAAATCGGAGAAGCTGGTCGGCCAACCTCAACCAACTTCTTATCCTTCTCCAGGTCCACTGCGATGTTCTTCATAGCTCCGAGTGTTTTTCTGATTTCCTGCCACCGGAGCCAGGTTAGGGCCTATGGTCCAGAATGGACCGAGAATCAGACAGTTCCAACAAGGAGAGCTTCCTCGTACAGCGATGAGAGACTGGTAGTCGGCGCACAACGCCGTCACTGTGCTCTCCATTCTCGTCGATCCCAAAGCCGAGCGAGGAGACGAAGAAGAAGCCATTGCCGTTCCTTGCCAGTCTCGGACCCCAACTGCCGACGAGAGAGGAAATAGAGAGAGGCCGGCCCAAGCTCAGAAGCAGGCCCACACCAGCTTCCGTCTGGCCCATTATTATCCCAGATAAAACTATTTTATTTGAAAACTGTCAAATAGATTTTATTATGACACAATGACGTCATAAAAACCTTATGAATCAGGCGCTAGAATTGGGGGGTATGGGGGCCAGGACCGAGCCAGCGTGGGCCGGGCCTTAGTCGATAGAAGTGTACAGGGCCCAAGCCCGTGGAAGTAACGGGCCTATTGGGCTCTCTTGTGACCTCATACTCTCCTCTCTCCTGGGCAGGAAGGTTGTCCACGTTAGACATTGACCGCCAGGACTAGTCGCATGTGATAAAAGGTTGTCCCCGACAGTGCTTGATCTGTTCTGGTGTGTACCAACGTGTGATCGGTTGTGTGCCAACGTGTACCCTGGAGAACCCGGCGAGACTCGGGTTGCGAAGGTCTCAAAATGTTAGCATAGAAAATACGTCTTCTATTACTCTTTTCCGCGAGGAATGTGACCGAAGGATCTAGAAAACGCGGAAATCGTGATTTTCCGCATTATTTAAATGGTATACACACTCTATATAGACTGTGGGAGGGCTCACCGACGGCCTCATCTCCCCTTCCCTCCCCGACGACCGTTCTCTTCCCCCTCGCCGCATCCCATACCCCACCGGCGGCTGCCGCCATGTCCTCACCGACTCCTCTGCTGTGCGCGCTGGTCCTGCTGGTTCTCCCCTTCCCCCTCGACGCGCAAGGGACGCCGGCGGCGACACCGGCACCGGCGCCGGCGGCGTTGCCCGACCCAGTGGCCATCTTGGAGGGCGCCCGCCAGTACGGCACGCTCCTCAAGCTGCTGAAGGATAGAAACCTCGTCAACGCCATCGCGGCCCAGCTGAAGAACGGGCTCACCATCTTCGCCCCCACAGACAACGCCTTCAACAACCTCCCCAACGGCACCCTCGAGTCGCTCTCGACGGAAGTACAGACGCAGCTGCTGCTGCTCCACGTAGTGGGCAAGTACTACAGCAAGGATAAGCTCTCCACCGCCGGTAACCCCGTCCGCACGCTGGCCACCAATTATACCCTAAACTTCACCAGCGGCAACAACCAGGTCAACGTGTCCACCGGAGCGGTGAACATCCCGGTGAACAACGAGCTCTACGTCAAATCCCCGCTCGCGATCTTCTCCATCGATTCCGTTCTGATCCCGCCGGAACTAGCCGGCGGGAAGGCCCCCCCGCCGTCGACTCCGGCGGAAGGGCCGACGTCGGGGAGCTGCAGGGGGCGGAGGATCGCCTGGGGAGTGCTCCTGGGGGCTGGGGTTGCCTTCCTGGGCTTGCTCCGGTGAGAGGAGGATGTAGCGCCTCCACGAGTCTTTTCCTCTCTCCGTCCCTCTGTCTGTCTCTTTCTCTCGGTTCCTGTATCTGCGTTCTCCTCTCCGTCCCTCTCTCTCTCCGATTGATTTATGTTGACTACTCTGATTTCGTGTTTGCATGAGAGAGTTGAGTTCGTATTCGACGGACGACGATCGCACAGCGGTGGAGGGCCTCGGCTACCGGCGGCGCTTTCCCACGTCGCCACCATTTACGTGGTGAGCACGCCGCTTCACGTGGTCGTGGTTCTTGGCTAGCCATCACGGTTCTATAGATACGTAGATCCGCGGGAGAGAGAGAGAGAGAGAGCAATCCGATCCGAGCCGTCGAAGCCAACGATGTGACAATATCAACGATGGTCATCCGACACGCACGCGCTGTTGGATCAACGTCTGCAAAGTCAAAACTTTCATTTTACATGTAATTAATGACGGCGAGAGAGGGAGGGAGAGAGAGAACTAATGACAGCTATGCTTGCAACTTGTTACCTTTCAGCCCACTTCATTCAAATAATCTAAAAAGGAAGAGAAAATAAAACAATGAAATTTATGAGAAGTTTGTGGGCATGATTAATGCAAAATATTCGAGAAAAGAAACCCAGTGGGTGGACCTATTTATCTTTAACATTTTAAGACATAATCATTGGATCTTGGAGCTTTCTTAAAATTAAAAATCATCCTATATTCCATTTTTTTACAAACGCTATAATTGTTATGTTCTCGGCAAAATCTACATAACATCTTTTTTAGAAAAAAACAAAATCTTAGAGAACCAACCCTTTTCTTATTTCCAAAAACAAGTGTAGCTCATCTTGATAATAAGGGCCCATGAATGAGAATGGTCATCGTTGACTTTTTTCTGGAGCACGGTTTCGTACCCAGAATAAGGTAATAGACTTTCGTATAAAGATATTATTGATGGAAAATCTTTCATACTCAAGAGGAGCAGACAAGGGGAACGATTTTTTGGATGAGGCATTTTGACGAACCCTTGCGGGCGTCTCATTTCTTCTTCCTGAGTACGCAGACATCCGCCTCCTAGTAGGCGTAGTCCGGCTGGAGGTCCTCGTGGGCCGCCTTCTGCACGAAGGACCGTCCGCAGAACTCCCAGAAGAGGCGGTGGGGGGGAGCGCACCTGGTAGCCCAGCAGCACGGCGCCGGGGGGGCTCACGAGGGCCTCCATGTCAGCGACGAGCGGCGCGACGGAGTCCTCGATATAGACGACGTCGGCCGCGACGACGAAGTCGAAGGCGGAGGGCGCTGATCTCCGCGGCGTTGTTCCAGTGGAGAATGGGGTGGCGCGGCAGCCTGCCGAGGGCGGCGCGGTTCCGCTTGAGGTTCCGGCGCAGGGCCGGCTTGACGGGGGCGATGTCTGTGAGGACAACGTCGAGGCCGAGGAGATGAAGGCCTATGCCGGCGGCGCCGCAGCCGGGCCCCGGCTCGACATCACGTTTGCCCTCGAAGTGGAGGAGGCCGGCGTAGGGAGTGGCGGAGGAGGAAGGAGGAAGGAGGGAGATGGCGGCGGTGGAGGAACCAGCGTTCGATGAACTTGACGAGGACGAGGGAGCAGGGCCAGACGGAGGTCCCGACGTGGAGAGAGCCGTTGTCCTGCTGGATCGACAGGGCGCCGCCCACCGAGAGCTCCACCGCCGGCGAGTCTGTGAACCGCATCTCTATCTCTCTCTCTCTCTCAGAGGATCTTCATGGGCAAGGGGAGGGGGCCGAGGTGATTATAAGAACTGGGCCCAGCCATGAACCAACAGTTCGGTAGGAAAACAATGAGAAGACTAAACCCTACGGGGAGACCCACGTAAGATTAATAAATTTCAACGCATCTAATTATACGTAGATGATATGACAAAATTCATTAATGAACACACACGGTCTGGTTTTCTCTGCCTACTCTCCCCTATGTTATTCTCAGCTGTATATATCCCCCACCCACAGAAAGAGAGAGAGAGAGAGAGAGAGAGAGAGAGAGGCAGTAACAGGTACCTCAAGTCGAGCAGCAGCTGTTCTTCTTCAGGTCGGAGACGTCGTCCTTGGAGTGGACATTGATGGTCTGGCCCTTGGGCACTGCCGAGGGGTCGTCTCCGAGCTTGAGGGCCTTCTTGCTGACTACCGGGTAGAACTGGGTGAGCACCTCCGTAAAGGCCTTCTCCACGTTCATTGACTCGAGGGCGGAGGTCTCCATGAAGAAGGTGCCCGCCCTCTCGGCGAAGGCCTCCGAGTCCTCCACCGGCACCGCCCTCAGGTGCCGCAGGTCCGCCTTGTTGCCGACGAGCTTGATCATAATGTTGGCTTCGGTGTGGTCCCTGAGCTCCTTCAGCCACCGTCCCACGCTCCCAAATGTGGCGTGCCGGGTCACGTGGTACTCGAGCTGGGCACCCACCGCTCCCAGGTAATAGGCCCTCGTGATGGTGCAATATCTTCAAGAAGGAATTAGACAGGGTGAAAGTCAGTCGTTATTCACGAAGATTTGAACGAAGATAGAGTATATTAAGCAATTTTATTTTATTTTTCTGTATAACTATACTGGATCATTCGGATACATTGATCTGCAAGAAGCTTATTATCGCAAAATATTACTAAAAAGAAGGAATTTTTTAGAGTATTCCGAAGATCCCATCCGACCCAGGTTTAAAGGATGCTTCTTTCACCATGAAATGGATCATTAAAATTTTCCTTTCTAGGTCAAAGTCGAACCCTTGATCATCAGAAAACTTGACAAAAGTATTAAGACATTTACTAAGTTCAATCAGCAGAATGAGGAACAACCAACCGCTGGTGGATACCAACAGATGTTTGTAGATAAAACTGCACATGGACAACAAGATTTGTTCAATTGGTGAGTGACCATTTGCTACCTCAATATCTCAAAGCTTCTTCATTATATTTGGCAATGGATGCAGAATAGTAATGTAAATTGAACTAAAAGCTCTTGGGGAATGTTTACTGAATACTCAAGAAGAGATAGAAAGTGTACAACCCTGAGATTTTCTTTTATTTTATAAGGTTATATCAGATGTATGCACGAGAAATTCCCAATCTGTGCCATTGCGCCTGATCATTGATATCATGGACATGCCTGGAAGGCAGTTCTTGAAGGGTGGTGTGATCCACATTTTTTTTTTAAAGTTCACATCAAAACTATGTCTTGGTACCACTGTAGCCATTCATCTCAAGACATGGGTGAAGCAATCTCAAGGGTACATCCATTTCATGTGGAATTGATTACCTAAGATTTGTTGCCAATCTAAGTTTACACCCAACCTTTGTCTTGAATAGTTAATATAACTATAACATTAGATTTTCTCAACCAATTTTGCCTAATATAGCGATTGCATAAATTTCAATAAGTAGCCAAGTAATAATACATCAGCAAAGTACAAAAGGAAAAATTTCTGATGCAAAATTTTGTTAGGATCAGTGTGACTAAGTGAAGTACTAAGAGGAGGGGTGAATTGATTTTTTATGTGTTGACAGACGTTTTGACACATTCAATCGATGAAGTATATATATAACTTAACCTACAATTCTTATATATGTCACATAGACAATTTGGTTTCTTTTTCTCACACTCTTA